GACATTTTTATATAAAGTTAGATTTTGACTATTACTTAGATTATGAAACAAAAGGGCATCTTTGAAAGCAAGATTCTCTTCGAGTTTATGATTTTTCTTAGTTTAAACGTAAGGATACTAAAGAATCTGTTGTGTCGAATTATTTCATGCTGTCCAAAATGCGGTTTCCTTTTAGGAAACCCCTGAAAACGACGATTGAAAATGGCCTACCGTTGTAATTTACTATGAAAATCGAGAATTTCATATAAGTGTCGATCATTCAAATTTCATAGTAAAAAATTTACCCCCCTGATCTGCGTGACATCTTGTCCGACTGTTAATGTAAAAGTCATATACGTACGCGCATACGTACAATTTTGTAGAAATTACAAAACTGAATCGGCCGAAAAATCATTCGGCTAATTTTTATCAGGTGTAAAATAAAATGTACTGAACGTCAAATCGAAAATGCGTCATTACTATTTATTTTTTTTGACATTTCATATTGTAAAATCATCTAGATAACGTCTAACCCATCTTCCCGTTAAAAGATGGGTTAGACGTTATCTATATGATTTACAATATGAAATGTCAAAAAACAATACTCTAATTTCATAAATTCTAATGTTTGGGTTTAGGTCAAATCCTGACAATAAGAATTCCGCCAGGGTGAAAATCCCAATAAAGTTAGCCAGGGTCAGGCCAATTTTTGACCTGTGACCTGCCAAGAAGCTAACTCAATCCGACCCGGGTAAGAGCTCTAATAAGACCCGGATAATACTAATAGAGGTACGAGTTGAGTTAATAGTAAATTTTCAGACATTTTGTCCACTCTTTTGGCCCAACTTTTTTTAAAATTCTGGCTAAATAAAATTTAAATTTTTTAATTTGACCAGAATTTAGAAAAGTTTGGACCAAAAAAAATATTCAAATTTAATAAAAACATGTCCGGTTTTAGTAATTGTACCCTTTTTAGAATTTATCTGGAGTCCTGCTAGTACAGTATATGTAAAATTTATACAAATCATTCAGTTCCCGTGGGTACTATGAAAAAAACACTAGCTAGTTCCTTTTTAAAATTTACATGCATTTTTGCAATTGCATTTAACATTACCTATTTGTGAAGAGAATTACATAATAGATGCTTCTCGAACGCTTATACCATCCAACTCTGGAAGCTTGTCGAACTCAGGTAGGTTTGAGCCAAATTTAATAAGCTGAATTATAAGGTTTGTTTGTGTTTCAAGATCCCGTATGGCAAATGTATTTTTTTCTTAATAACGATCTTTTGCATTCCCAATTATCGTATTTGCTGGATCTTGTGAAAACCTCTATAAAAATCAAACCCTACCGCTACAGTATACTAATGATATTACGTCGTCTATTAGCTAATTTGCTGCTAAAGTATTTGAAAAAAACAATTCATCCAATACATTACGAGATAAAATGGATAACCTTGAGATTCGGACATCGGATAGAAGTGTTGCAAAAATGAAAGAGATAATATCGCGTTTAAATATTTGTAATTTATTATATTTATTATAATATCCAATTTAGAATCGACTTAAGTTGCTTTTAGACTTCGTATCAACTTGGGTTATATTTAGAATTCCGTTTCAACCTAAGTAGATTCTGCGTCTGCAATAATTCCATTCGACATGCATATATCCCAAAATCCATCGTATTTTTGTGACGAGATTAAGTCAGAATTTTAAATGAATGCAGCTAAGTGAAAACAGAAAGTCTAAAAATAGAATTCTTTAAACAGAATGCGACCTTAAATGATAATAAAACATGGTAAAAAAAAAAAAAAAATAGTACAACCATTCCGCTGTGTAAAGAATTCTTTTTTTTAGCCATCCTAGTTTTCACTTGGCTGTATTCGAAAAGTCTATCAATAATCATAATTTTCAATCAATAATATCTATGTTTATTTAAATAGAATCCAGCTTTTCTAGAATTCGGGTATTTTTTTATCAGAGAAAATACAAGTGTTCTGTATTTTTGCAAAATGGCATTTAAATATAATTTCAAAAAATCGTTACTTTATATAAATAAGAATGACGATAAAAATATAATATAAATACGACTAAATACGACTAAATAAATGAAGAAATAAGATAATACAGTAACTAAATAATAAATAAAATTCAAACAAGAAAATTATTTTGTAGCAAAAAAACATTCACAAATTAGCATATGCCGTCTAATATCTATATACATCAGAAATAAGAAAATCATTTCTATTTGGAAGTTTCTTGCTCTTGAATTTTGAGGTTCTTTATTTGAATTTCCAATTCATTAATCTCTACTTTTTTGCCTAAAATGTTTTGAATTTCTTCATCGGTTAACGCATTGGATAGTTGTTTTTTAATTTTTTCTATTAGTTTTCGGGCAAAAGCGTTGCTACCTTGTAAAACTTCTTGCTGAGCTTCTACTAAAACTTCTAACCATGATTGATTATCTTTGTTCAAGTTTTCATTAGTAACAACAAATTGGTGCTTAAATTTATCTTTAACAGTAGCTAATTGGTACTCCAAATATTCCTCTTCAATTTTTTTAGCCTCTAATTTTAGATCACTAATATCAGTGCTCTTAACATTTCTAACCGTGTTAATTAATCTTTCTACTTGATTTTTTAATATATTATCATCGAACATGATTTGTGGGATGTTGCTTAAATTAATATTTTTATAATTTGCTCTATTAGGTAAACTTAAATAACCGAGAGTGGTATAAGTAATTGTTAGAGTAGTTAACTTATTACATTTATCAATCTTCAAACTAGTTAACTTTTGCTGTTTGCTACTACTATTACCAGCGATACATAATTCTTCCAAATTTACAAAGCTATTAAGATTTAACTCTCCTTCCAACGTGATATTATTGAATTTGTTGGTTGGAACGGCAGAAACGTGTTGAGTTGCTGAATACCCATAAATATGGAGATGTGTTACTCGTGCTCTTTGATCTTCCGGAATCTTTTCATTTAACCATTCTCTTGCATTCACCATGTCTCTATGATGCTAAAAAATTTTTTCACTTTCTTTTGTTTAAAACCAAGATGGTCAATATTTTATGTTTTCAATGAATTTATATCTAACTTTATGTGCAAACCGATAAAATTATCGTCATTCATATCATACCAACCGTAATTTTTTAACGTATCAATATATATTTGGATGCTTAATCTCTAGTTTTCTCTGCGGAATAGGATGGAGAGATTAACATTAAATTCATCAAACTCCGACCACCCAACCACCCAACCACTCATAAACAGGAGGAAACGTACCCGATCCAAAGTGAATCCCACACATGGTGTGAAAAATTAAAACTAATATAAATAATTTCAGTTTTAATTTATCACAATTAATCACACCATGTGTGGGATTCACTTTGGATCGGGTACGTTTCCTCCTGTTCCACTCATATCGATATCAAATAAAGGCATAATATTGCTTTATATGGTGATTAGTGCCAAAATACGTAACGTATTTTTGGAGAATTCACAGTACAGCAGACAATATCTATGATTGGTTAATTTTTGTAGATCTACCCGTAATAAATACACGTGTTTAGAGAATAGATAGATAATAGATACATGTAAAGTTGGATAAATATGATATATTAATCTATACGAAGTTTTAATTTACAGTTGACAAACCCAAACACATGCTACAAGAACAAACCAAAATTAAAAATTACGATAAATAACTATTGCAATTCAAGAGTACTAATCAAATAATGACCCAAACTTGAGTACTGGACATACTAAACACTTTGATCAACACACGCAAAAAAAGCCTGTATGCTGCCAGATCCAACAAACTAATTCTTACAAAATCTAATACTCGAGACATAAGAAGTATTAATATCTATTGTTAATAAATTAAATAGCTATAAAGGGCTCTTTATTAATACTTACGTCTTGATTGTTTTTTTCAGTCTTTTTTGGTTGACCATTTCAAATGTATTTAATGCTTATATACAGCTAGTATAGCAATGAGTAATAATATTTGCTTCTAAGTGAAGTCCATCGGGTTCTGGATTATTTTTACATAGTGAACGTTGACATTCTTACGAAAGTTTTTTTGTTAGTGAAACGTTACATTCTCAAAAAGTACTTTAAAGTGTATAAATAAGTTACCCGGTTATTTTATTTATATTAGCCAGTCAAAGAATTGTCTGTTATGCTGGAGTTCAAATAATTACAAATAACGATAAGGCCTAAAAATGAGGATAGTTCCGAAATTCCGGGTCGAAGGCATCGGAGCTAGGTAGTATTTAGTAATATTGGTTAGCATAGTCTATAGTAAAATTATCAGCTGGAATTTATTATTTAACGTTAATGAATCGTTAGTAAAATTTTTAGTGATCTTGGGAAAATTGGATTCCCTGTATGAGCTCAATCAAGGACCCAAATTTATCGTAACTAATTAGATTGCGAGAAATACTATAGAAACACGTAAAAGAAAATTTTTTAACATTTAAAATGATATAAATGTAATTTTCTTTGATGGTTAAATGTATTACTCTTTAATCAGTATTGCATCCATTCTTTTAGCGTCTTACGCGGTGAAGTTATACCTGCTTTTGATAATTTCTAAATTTCAACTTTTTTTGCGAATACAAGTAGTTTTGTGGTTCAATAATCACGAATGTGACACATATTTAATGACTAGTTTTAGTGTTGTTAGTTTAGAACTGAACATTGCAATATTGATAAGGCTGCACAAATATACTTGCTGGCAAACCCAAAAAATACAATTGCTCTTTACAAAAAATTAAATCAAAAAAATAATCATGATATTTTACAATATATTATACATAGCTATGAAAATTTATATCATCTATTTAAATAAAGATTATTAATAAAGTTTTTGAGATATTAGTTTGGCAAAGCTTGAGATTTGGGCGTGGGCAAACCCAAACTATAATAATTTGTGATATGGGAATCTGAAACTTGGTCGTTCTATCTGGCTTGTTAAAAAAAATTTGTAAAATTGCTAATTGAAAAAGTGTCGATTGGATTATAAAATCAACTTTGTATGGCCTAATATCGTGTTTAACCCATTTGCTGCAGATCATGTAAACAAACGTCGTGAGAATTTTGAGTCTTCTTGACCTCAGGAGTACCTTTACTTAGAAGCCAAAAGTAAGTTTACTTAGTAAAAGATCCTATACGATGATACTTAGGGGCGCTTATTTTGGATATTATACAAAATTTTAATGGTAGTGAAAACCAGAAGTCTAAGGTATTCTCAAGCGCCTTAGTCAATCGGTTGGAACAGGTCCGGAAGTAGATTTTAATTAGTATTTCAGTATTTATCGTTATTATTTCAATTAACAAACGATGGAAGCCAGATATCCTTTTTTTCACCTAGTTGTACTGATTGGTCGAAAATTCTCATTGAATGTTTAGTAAAAAATAACTGTTCAAGCGCTTCACTCCAGAATCTTCAAAATCATTACCAGCATCAACGGGTTATTACTTTATTGCTTATGCTAAAAACCTTTGCCGCAAACAGAAAGTTATTTGTTGCCGTAGAATCCAGAAAAAGCTGCATTGGCTGTTATAACAACATATGAAAGTTTGCGAATTGCATAGCAAAGGCTTAAAACGACGAAACAGAATTTTGAATCGCGTAAACAGTACTTTATCTTTTTATTTCTTCATATTATTATTATTATTATTTCGGTCTTGTGAAAATTTACATGTAATATCGAAAATATCGTTAACAATAAAAATAAAGGTGTTAATTCAAGTATTGCAATCAATATTTTAATTTATCGTAATACTTGAGCATTGACACGATCATAAATTAATCACATAGAGGGAGATATGTGCGAATAATTCAATTATATTATTACTCATATTATTGGTTTTCAACAAAGGTCCAATATCACTATAAATACATTATATTTACAAGTGATGTAAGCTATATTTTTTTTTTATGGGTAATGTTAGATTTGCTTTCCTTAAACAGCATGCGGGCTTTAAATGATAAAAAAAAAACAATTGCTTATTCTAGTCAGATCGATTAAAAGGCCTGCATTTCGTTGTATAAAAGATTCCTTGTTTAGACTTCTTGGTTTTCAAGTACGGAGCCATATTTTAAATACTGTTAATAACGGTTCCGGGTAATTTTCCGAAGTCCATTTTTCTGAAATACCATTTCACAGAAGTCGTTAATACTGAAAATCCATTTTACTAACAGGATCCGTATCATTTCACCGACAATCAATTCACCGAGAAGTTTATTTCACCGAACCGACAATTACTTCGCCGGCAGCTCATTTCACCTACAAGTTTTTTTTTAAAAAAATTGCACTAAGGCCATTCCAATTTGATTCTATGTTTAACATAACATTAATAAAATGAAAACAGGAGGGGGGGTAAGATTTTGATTGGCTAAAAAAAAATTTTTTTTGAACAGTTGATATGATTTTTATATTAAATGGTGTTAATTACCTCCTATAACTGAGGCTCAAAGAGAGGGGGGGGTTCATGTTAAACATAGTTTTAAATTGGTGTGGCCTAACCTTAACACTAATTCTAAACTGCCCTAACGACAATGACCGGAATTACTTTTCGGTGAAATAACTATCGGCTAAAAAAACTGACGGTGAACTAAGTTGTCAGAAATGGGTCTTATCGGGAAAAAAAGGATATCGGAATTATGGGTCGGAGAAATATCATTTCGGAAAGGTGTATACATGTTGTCAAAACTAAAAATTTCAAAATCCCACCCAAATCCCAAATCTCAAATATAATAAAATTGTCCCAAATCCCAATTCCCAAAGCTCAAATCCCATCCCAAATATAATAAAATTTATCCCAAATCCCAAATCCCAAATCCCAATAGTTTTGCCAGCAAGTATAGAAAGGTGGACTTAGGGAAAGTGAGAAAAATGGTTAATGACGCGTAACATTCAAATACAAGCGTCGGTATTTTGCAAGGGCTCTTAACATTTAATTCAAATATTGTTACTTTATATAAAATAAGAGTGACGGTAAAACTACCAAAATATAATATAAACACGGCTAAATAAATGATGAAATAAGATAATTCAGTAACTAAATAGTAAATAAGTTTCAAACAAGGAAATTGTTTTCGTAACAGAAAAACATGTTATTCACAATATGGGTAATTATTTTTGAACTCTGACCAATTTATATATATAACGGAATAACATTTTGGTCTGGATTCAAAAATAATTACCTATAAAATTAGCATAAGCCGCCTCTAATATCTAATAGTTTTTCAAAATTCAACAGATCGAGAATGACTTTTCATTTTATCTATGAAAAGAGATTCTTCAAAATCAAAATCTACATCCTTATAATAAACAAGAAATCACTTCTATTCGGATGTTTCTTGCTCTTGAATTGTGAGATTCTTTATTTGAGTTTCCAATTCTTTCATCTCTACTTTTTTGCCTAAAAAGTCTTGAATTTCATCAGCGGTTAGTACATTGGATAATTGTTTTTTAACTTTTTCTAATATGTTTCGGGCAAAAGCATTGCCACATTGTAAAACTTCTTGCTGAGTTTCTAGTAAAATTTCTAAAAGTGATTGATTCTCTTCGTTCAATTTATCTTTAGCATAAGCTACTTGGTACTCCAATTTATCTTTAATAACAGCTAATTGATATTCCAAATTTTCCTCTTCAATTTTTTTAGCCTCTAATTTTAGATCACCAATATTAGTGTTCTTAGCATTTCTAATCTCGTTAATTAATCTCTTTACTTGACTTTTTAATATATTATCATCTAAATCGAACATGATTCGTTTGTTATAGCTTAAATTAAGATCCTTATAATTTGCTCTACTACGTAAACTTAAATAACCTAATTGATTATAGGTCAAGGTAATATTTTGGAGAGTAGCATTCTCTCTAACATTTAATATATCAAGAGTAGTATGATTAATTGTTAGAGTAGTTAACTTGTTACATTTATCGATCTTCAAACTAGTTAATTTTTGTTTATAAGATGCACTACCAGAGATATATAATTCTTCCAAATTAACAAAGCTATTAAGATTTAACTCTCCTTCCAAAATAGCATAAATGAATTTATAAATTGGATGTTTAGAAACGGTTGGATTTTTGCAGTGAGTACAAGATCCTTTGGAGGAGTTATGACCATTTTGACATGTTCCATAAATATGAAGACATGTTGCTTGTGCTCTTTGATCTTCCGGAATCTTTTCATCTAACCATTTGCTTGCATCCATCATGTTTTTATACAATATTAATCAAATATTCCCACTTTTCTGTCGGTTAAAAAAAAGCAGTGGTCAATATTTTATGTTTTCAATGAATTTACACCTAGCTTTATGTGCAAACTGATAAAATTATCGTCATTCATATCATACCAACCGTGTTTTTTTAACGTATCAATATATATTTGGATGTTTAACCTCTAGTTTTCTCTACGGAATAGGATGGAAATTAATTTCAACAAATCCGATATCGATATTGTATTTGCCATTCATAAACTACCCCAGTGACACCGATCGACAATCAAAACAACGAATATGCGCAGTCATAAAACGCCACATTAGGGTCAGATTTTCAATTATAGCGAGGATTGTCTTATACTAAAATTTTGCAAGAAATTTTTTTTACTAGTGCAATTTTGAAATTTTGAAAAAACGCATGATTTTCACGTTACACCTGATATTGTAATCTAATTAGTCAATTCGACATATCATTCCTTTATGTAGCGGTGGATAGCTTGTGGTACTTTAAAAAAACAAAATTTTATCTATGACGGATGATCATATCACCGAATTTTCTGGGAGAGCTGTGTACAAATAAAATGTTCTACACCCCAAAAACTTTCCAAAACCCTAATTCTGACCCTAAATGGGGTCCGTATTATTTCACCGACAGCTCATTTAGCCGACATCATTCCAGGTGAAATTCAGTAAAAATATATATCTGTAACTTATCAAATTCTTAACCATAACCCTATGTGATGTCGGCTAAATGAACATTCGGTGAAGTGATCGTCGGGAACCGATTCTGACCCTAAATGCTAGTTCTAATATAAAAAATTTGAGTTAAAAATTTAATACAAAACTTATAAAAATTAAAAAAATCTATAATAGGTGATAAACCACTATAGGTTTGTTTAAGTAAGAATGTAAATAAAATTATGGGTGCTCTCAAGCATCTAAATTAATAGGTCTGAGTCCAATTTTTAATTAGTGGAAAATAAATGATTCGTTCAAGTGAGTTCATTATCGCGATAAAAAAAAAAAGATGGTCAGAGACCATCTTTTTTTATCATAGAGTTGTGCTAATTGGCTAAAATTTAATAAAATAATTTCGCAACATGAATTTTCGACAAATTACCATAAGGATTACTTCAATTAATCGTAGTACTTGTGCACGATCTCTATAGCTAATTAATTACACTGAGAAAGATGCTTGAGAGCACCCTATATCTGAAACCGATAATTATAATAATATAAATGATATACTAACGTAAATTTGTATATGGATATTAATACCAAAGATAACTATCTAGCTATTAAAAACTATTATAAGGCTTAAATTTATATATACTGTATAGTTAAGAAAAGCTTTTTAAAAATAAAAAGTCTTGCCGCCACCCCGTCTATAAATTAAATAGTAATTTGACAACCACAGTAGGTTAGGAGATGCTGAGGTTAGAGTCAGACAATCAATTTAAATTATTAATTGTGACAGCTGAAGCTGAGGGTTTGAAATATTTTACTATTAAATTTTACAAATTTTTGGGACCTTTTTGGTCAGCTTTTTTTTTAGTTAGGTTAGAGTTTAGGGTAGTTTTATTAATAAAAGAGTACAATTGGATTTTAGTAGGTAATATAGATTTAAATAGAGACACCCAATCTCAGCTTCAGCCAATCTCACTTCAGTCACCACATTTATTACCCCGGGCAGTACCAAGACGACTCCTTTGTACTAATAATCATACGTATATGTAGTAAAACAGAAAAAATAAAATTATAGCTATACTTGATTTTAAATTAGAAATTTTAATTCTAATGCAAATTCTTATTAAGAATTAAACTTTAAATATATAATTTCTAATATGAGTGCTGCTAAAGGAAAATGTCACTTCAGTGACTTTCAATTACATTTTGACCAGACACTTTCTATTTAATTTATTAAGGATTTGTGTCCGGTCAAAATGTAATTGAAAGTCCGAAGTTACATTTTCCCTTGGAAACACTCATATATAAACATATCAGAATTTTTATAAGTAGTTAAACCTTTATAGCAAGGAGTTTGTTAAATATAGCAGGTTGTTATATCGCAGGTTAATATAATTAACTAATTAAATTGCAGGATTTTGTATAACAATAACGAAGCAAAAAAATTTTTAAGTATTTCAAAATTTTACTATATAACTAATCTTGGGCTTTTAATTAGAAGTTTTCGGCATGTAATTTTACATATATTTATATAGATATGTTACGGGTCAAGTTGGTTTTTAGGTCAAGTTAAACTTGACCCGGTCAAATTGATCCCTAGGGTTAGGGCAGACCTGATGCCGGCCGGGTTCTTTTACAGAAATTAGCTGAATGATTTTCGGCCGATCCGGTTAATTTATTATTTCGGCATAATAAATTCATAAAAATTGTTACGTACGTATGTACGCACGTACCAATTTTATTGGATCTATACCAGGAACGGAGTGATATTGAAAATTTCACGGAGTGTATGGTTATATTACAAATTAAATGACGTTGTAATTAGGGATGGCAAAAAAAAGTTTTTTAATGTTTTTTAATGTTTTTTAAGTTGTTTTAAAACATGTTTTAAAACATTGGTGATTGTGCGGCTGATGAAACTACCGTATATGATTGGTTAATTTTAACTTCAGTACCAGTTAACTTAGTGAGACGATTATATTCTTTTTTTTTTTTGTCAAATTTTTAAATAACCGATTGCAGGATTGGGAACAAAGTTATTTATTAAACGCAAAAAAACTACTAAAATGAAATTTATTTGAATTATACCAAAAAAAATTTTTGCAAGAATGTACATGATTGTAATATTAAAATTTTTTTTTTATTGATAAAATCTTTTTAAAAAAATCTTCGCTATGTATATGCCTATATGTTCACTCATTTTCCTCAAACCATTGATCATCGCCAATTTCTTTTTGAATCCTTAAATTTTGACAGGTAGTTACGAGTTTTTTTAACACGGATATTATTTAAATGTGCACAATTCTTACTATGAATGAACCCAAAATTAGACCAATTGCGCTCAGCAGCTGCTGAAGAGGTTGGAATTGAAAGAACTCGGCATGCAAGTTCAACTACAATAGGGAATTTGTTTGTAAAGTTTGGCTTCCACCAACTTATCAGATTTGAGTGCTTAACAGAAGCCCAAAGTAAAACTCCCGAAAATTCATCGGTTTTGGTAATATATTTCTGGATTACATCATAAATCTATTTATATAAAAAAAATAGATATTAAATAAAATTATTTAATAAAGCATATATATTTAATTCTTACATGTGCCGCCAATTCAAATGTATATATTTTCTCAAGATATGGCACAATAATTGATTCAAGATCATTAGGCTCCAATGATATGCTGTAAAAACTAAAATATAATTTTATATTAGTGTTAGTAATTATAATAATCAAATCAAATTTATAATAGAGTACATTTATTTATCGCTTCATGCAACGCATCTTATATATCGCTCTTACATGATCAACCAATCGAATCTCAAGATCAGGTGTAACGTTACACAGGTGGGAAATTCAAAACAAACCGAACATTTTGCCAAAAATTGCCCATAATTCAAAATATCAAATATGAAACCACCTTCTGGGTTTTAATGAAAAAATTCCTTGCAAAATTTTACTATAGAGCCTGGTATTTGCCTTGATTCTATTCTTATTTATCACTAACCCTAACCATATAAAAAAAACATTGTTTTGATTTTACGTTAATAATCTTTATTAGGGCGACAATATTGCCCATGTGATGTATAAATTCTCTCTTTATAATATATATATTACTTGGGATCCAAGAGATTTGCAATTGCTATTGCCAGGTGAAAAGCAAATTCAAACTGGTTATTAATTAAAGTATCAATATGCAATTTAAAATCTAAATTCAAGTTTTGAGCAGTAAGTGATTCCTGAAGTTTTTCTATTCATAATATATGTGAAAAAACAAAAAACTATCTGATTCAAATATAGATATTAGTCTCACAAATGGCTCTAAAAAAAAGGCTAGTTTATCTAAATTTTCCCATAATGAATTGCCCAAAATTTGTTTTTGAAGATTGTAATTAATCTTGTTAGTAATTTCAGATTGCATAACTGATATTTGAAGCTCTAATTTGTTTCTCAAAAAGATTTAATTGTAGCTAAACAAGATCCCCAATGTGTATCAACTGGTTGAACTAAGTTAATTGCATTTGTTAACTTAATAAAATTGCCTCTTCTTTATGATGTAAATGAAAAAAATTAACAATTTGTTTTGCTTGGTTCATTAAGCTATCTATTTGTTTAAGTTTAAGAATATATTGAATTAAGAGATTTATAATATAAGCATTACATCCTAGACAAATTAAATTAGAATAATCCTAATTTAATTATTACTAAGCAGCCCACATCATAGTGCAATCATCAGTAATAACACCTGCAAATTTAGATGGTTCAACATTTTCTAAAACAAATTTAATTTTATAATAAATATATTCGGTTATATGTGAATCAGTATTCATGTATTTAGTATTATAGAATACAGGTTTATAAAGACAAAGTATAAAATTCAAGACTGATTCTCATTGAATATTTGACCATCCATCTGATACCAATATAATATTTTATGCATTTTCAACATCATATCTAAAACCTATTGCCTAGTCTGATACTCCTCATCTAATAAATTATTTGCCAAATTTTGATGATTTGGGCTAGTGTAAGTTGGTTATATGATCTTTAAAATTTCTAACCAAAAAGAGTTTTCAATTGCTGTAAAAGCAATTTCAGCTGAATAAAAAAATCTTGCTAGTGTCTTATTTGCATCATTATAATCAAATAAATCCTTTCCTAATTCTAAGCCTAAGGTATTTTTTTGTATTTTTGAGTATAATAAATTTTTAATATACTTTGAAAGTTTTTGATATTTTAATAAATGATTTTTTAATTATTCAATCATAGTTATAATATTATTTCTACAATGGTTATATTTTTAATAAGTAATTTTATG